TGGCCACGTTTTTGTATTGTTTTTAATACAAAAGGCTAGTTTTTCCATGTGTTTTGCACTTTTTGGTATTTAAGTAATAAAAAAACTATAGTTATTGAAGAAAAAATTCAAATCACCTATCATATTCAATCAACAATTGCATAATAAATTTAAAATAGAATTATCATCACAATATAGCTGGTGAAAGGAATTGGGATTTATATTGAAAGAAAATACACTAAATATGTGATAAAAACTTAACTATAGATTACAAAATACAAATACTTATTTTTATATTAAATATGACTTATAGAAATCATATTTATATTATAGTCCTTTATTGTTGATGATATAGGCCTAGTTCTTTTCAAATTATATAAGACTAATTAAAAAATATTAACAAGTTACTAATATTTGAACTTAGTCATAAAAAATGTAGCCTACTCCGACCTCTTTCTCTCTTCTCTTCTCCTAGAAAGAAAACAAAAACAAAACAATTATCTCAAGTATACAATCTACACCAAAGTTGTCCGTTTGCCCAGAAATAGATTCTTTTGGCATTAGCAATAACATCACAAATTGATCACCCACAATTTCATGGTCTCTTCTTTAATCTTCTATTGCCATTACCATCAATGAGTTCATATGCAAGATGCCTTGATTTCTAAGTGCACACTCTCATTCTCCACTTTCTATTAATCTCGTCATTACTACTTCCAATTTCTAATAATATGTCTTCTCTCTAAACATTATTTTATTCTATCAACATCACATTTCCAATTTCTTTTATGTTCTTTACGAATAGACTTATAAAGTTTCTTACATCTAGATTGCTATCAAATAGAATTAAGGCACCATTTGTTAACACATATAATTTAGGATTCATGCTAACAAAAATGCTATATCACAAATCATATCATTTAAAGTTGTAGTGTGATCTACTACACCCACATACATTCCAAAATGTGTATTTCTAAAATATAATAACATTGGAGATGTCTCACCTCCAAAATGCTTGATGAGGTTGAGATCTAGGAAATGACCAAAGTGTACCATTTGTGCATATGTCTAGGAGTGAATCCTGGTCATATGCTATTATGTCAATAATATCCTTTTAGATGGATGTGCATTATGAACTCAAGGACCACAACATTTTGCATATGACCTACTCTAAAGCGTCCTCAACTTTGATTGATCTATCAATTTTTTGTCAAATTGATGGATAAATATCCACAACAAGCTGAGCTCACTTCACATGTGAAAGTTTCATAAACATGTAACTAAAACATAGTTTTTATTTCAGACCTAGATAAATTTTAAGATGAATGACAACAAGTTCAAAAAAATAGTCCCAATGTTGGTTATGAGTGAAAAAATTCAGTAAAAACTATGCCATGTTTTTTTAACTTTTTCAAAAGTATTTTCCATCTATGAGTTAGAAAAAGATGTCAAAACTCAACTCTGAAGCTTTCTTCACATCATTTTCGAATGCATTCATGAACAATGACAAAAAGGGTAATGTCTCACACACACACTATGCAATAATGCTTTCATTCCTTTGGCAAAGGATATGTTCAAACTCCTAGGCAAATCCAATTCTCCTTAATAGGTCATCTCCTCATGTATTGCCTCCCACAACTATGCTTATGTCTCTGCAATTATCCAACTATAAAGATACAAGGTGTAAAGTGAGAAGTAAAATAATTATGCATCTATTTTGTCATACCACCAACCTATGCACTACGCCATGCTTCATAGTTAGAGATTGGGATTAGAAGTGCACCTCATAAAATCCAACTTCCATTGCCCTTCTTCCCCACGCCTCCTTCATAGCTTCCATCTTCTACTTAGGGAGGAGATTGCAATTTTGAGTTCTTTTCTATTGAGGACCAAACTTCACCTTCAATTGGTAAGTCTCTTCTTGAACAAAAAAGAAATGAATGTCGCACGTAGCAACAAGTAGATTCCTACTTGCAATACATTGTTGATCTAGAACCATGGTTTTGTTAAGGGCTTGTAAACTCCAAACAATGTTAAGTTTTTTGATGAAAACCAAGAAGGATACATGCACTAAATGAGAGCCACCACTTGTCTCCTTGAGCAATCTTAATATATAGATTAGATCAACTAAAATTTCTAGTGATTTCATTTAGTCATACACTTAGAATGAATAACATTGTGCCTGAAATTGAACTAAAAATCCTCATTCATCATCACTACTCTTCAAAAACTAATTAATTTATCATGTTCACAAACCTATTTAATTAATGATGTTCACAAAACTAATTAATTTATCATGTTCACAAACCTGTTTAATTAATGATGTTCACAAAACTAATTAATTTATCATGTTCACAAACCTGTTTAATTAATGATGTTCACAAAACTAATTAATTTATCATGTTCACAAACCTGTTTAATTAATGATGTTCACAAAACTAATTAATTTATCATGTTCACAAACCTGTTTAATTAATGATGTTCACAAAACTAATTAATTTATCATGTTCACAAACCTGTTTAATTAATGATGTTCACAAAACTAATTAATTTATCATGTTCACAAACCTGTTTAATTAATGATGTTCACAAAACTAATTAATTTATCATGTTCACAAACCTGTTTAATTAATGATGTTCACAAAACTAATTAATTTATCATGTTCACAAACCTGTTTAATTAATGATGTTCACAAAACTAATTAATTTATCATGTTCACAAACCTGTTTAATTAATGATGTTCACAAAACTAATTAATTTATCATGTTCACAAACCTGTTTAATTAATGATGTTCACAAAACTAATTAATTTATCATGTTCACAAACCTGTTTAATTAATCATGTTCACAAAACTAATTAATTTATCATGTTCACAAACCTGTTTAATTAATCATGTTCAAAAATCCTTAGAAATTCTGAGATACTGGGATTTTTAGGGTTTGGGCTCCTACCGAAAGCCCTTTAATGAACGTTGCACGGAGGAGTTAATGCTACTTCAGTTAGCTTCATTCATCCAATTTCATCCATACGTCCTCGTCCACAGGCGGATGGCGGAGGATCTGGGCCTCACACGTAGAAGGTGCAGATTTGCAAATCTAGTGGAGGGACTCGTATTGGAGGTTCAGATCCCTCAGCTGACATGTCTTCCATCCATTTGGATGTATACTATTTCATCCGTTGGTCTCCAACAGCAGCATCGATCATCATACATTATGGATGAATAGTTTTGAATTCATCCTTCACACTAGGGGACAAGCAATGTGGCACGCATGCATTTAATATCATATTGAATGTTATTTTACATTGTTTTAGTAATTTATTTATTTTTTATTATTTGAAAGACTCTGAAATAAGTGGTCACCAGCATGAACCAAGAGTTTGTTACTGTTCATCATTTGATTGGCATTTACAAGTATAAGAATCTTCTTACAAGTAGTTTAAAGTCACAACTATGGATTAAAGAAGTATATTCTGTATTAAAAGTTAATCAAGTCATAGATGGAAAAATAGGTATATATATGTAATACTTTACATTAAAAAGTCTAGTCATAGTTCATATCTTGTATGAAACATCAAATTGTGAATATTCCTAAATGTACTTGTTTAATAGGCATTCACAACTTGTACTCTTAGTATGTAGGTGCTAAGTACACATGTATGTAATGTTTTCATATTTTTAAGCTAACGGAATCCCTATATTTGAGTTTGTTTTGTTTTACTAATTTCGGAGTGTATGCAATCAAGTCCAAGCTTCAACACACTCAATGACTACACAAAAATGAAATTGATACGGCCAAGTATACCAGGTCCTTTCGAATCATATTTTTGGAAACTTATCAACTCAACGTTTAAACACTCCAGGCATTCTTAACACCAGTTAAACCAAAAATAAATATTTTCAACACACTAAGAGTTGTTTTCCCAGTTTAATGTTTCCACAAAAACTTGAGATCCATCCAATTAATTATCATTGATTCAAGACTAATATTCAAATAGAAGCAATAACTAATGTATTTCATTTTGTAAACAGCCAACGGCTTTTTTGTTTGCATTATCTTATGTTATACTTCGTGCACACAAAGTCCCATAATTTTATTGATTCAGAAGCATAAATTATATATATATGTATATATATATGTACAAAAATGTTGAAATACATTATTTGTGATTATTTATCACACTAATAGTAAGATTACATTCTAATGAATGTTTTGTAATAGTACCGTTTGATTGATTGGTTAAAGTGTGTGTTTTTTCATAGCACTACATTATACAACATGATTGTATTTGAGAAGGCAATGAAATTTATTTTCATGTATGATTCCTAGGACGTTGAATAGAATATTAAGATAAAAAGATGCACATTCTACAAACAAATTGTAGTAAGTTTGGTTAAAAGGTAATTCAAGTGTTCAAACAAGACTAGACATGAGAAAAAGAGTCACTAACTTAAAAAAACATTCTTGAAACGAAAATGAGCATTTTCAGTTGAATGAGTTATTATTATATTTACGAAATGAGAAAGTATAGATAAATAGAAGCAATGTGAAGGAAGTTTTTTATTTTATTTTAATATTATTACTATAGCTTGTAAAACTCAAACTTTTTCAAATGGAATTTCATAGTTATTTCATATTTATATAAATGTTTACAATAACTAGCCAACATGGATGATATTAATGATCTATCCACCAGGATGACAGACATCTGGATGAAGAACGGACGAGCTCGTCGTCCACGTGGTCCCGAGACACAGTTATCTGTGGAGGGAGGGAGAGAGGGAGGGCGGGAGGGGAATCCTTTTTGGCGGGAGGACTGCTGGCTCCCGCCAAGAATGTGTGTGCCACCCCAGGCCCATGCCATGAAGAACAGGAAGCCGAACTGATGAACGAAACCCTTATCCTCATCGATAGACGTCATCCACATTTATACATCCATCCGTCCAAGGAGGGGGTGGAGGAACGGGGTGGCTACGGAGTCAGTCCGCGTGTGAAAGGGGGAGTCGTCCGATGAGGCCAAGTCTCCGTTGGGACTCTGCCGTGGTGCCCCGCTTTGGACGGATGAGTGTTTGTTTGTTTGTTTGTTTGTTTGAGGTGATGGCGCAAGGACAATTTGGTATGTAGAAGGGATTTGGAATGGAATGGAGGGGAGAGGGAGGAAGGGTAAGAAGAGTGGTGAAGAATAAGAAAGAGGGATGATGGTGCGACCGAGTGATAGATAGGAAGGAAGGAAGGGAGGAAGGAAGAGGAGTTGGTGGAGGAGAAGGTTTTTAGCGAGGGAGCTCTTTTGTAAGCCACTCTTCGGTCACTTGATAGATAGATAGATATGGATGGGGCTCCCACGGCTGGAGAGTCAGGGTAAGGGAGAGCTTGAGCAAGTTACCGGTGAAGGTGCTGGCGAAGGTGTGTTTTGATCGTTCCTTTTAGTTACTGAGCTTACTTGATTGCTTTCTTTCCGGTGTCATTTGTAGATGGCGATGTATAAGCGAGTTAGTTGAGTTTGAGAGAGTGCGAGAATGTGTAAGAGTAGCAGCGGTTTCCTTGCGGTCGTTTAGTTGCTTTTGAAGTTTCGGGCTTAGGTTTATGCGATGGTGGTTTTAAATTGTTTGTTGTTAATGCCGTTGTTTTGTGGTGGTAATGTCCCATTCTTCGTAGTGAGAGTAGTTACTTAAAGAAGGTTGTTTCGATATGGATAGGTGCTTGTTGAGAGGGGTGTTGTCATTACGCACAACCGTTCAAATTGTGCGAAGAGACGTTGTACAATACTTATTGAATGCGAGTTTTTGCTTTGAAGGTGTCTCATCATTTTGTGTTTCTAAATTTCTCTGGAAGGGACTTCGATTCGATTTTGGCCAGGCTGGGAGAAGCTTTTTATTTATATTTCCCGTTTTGTATGTTTTTAGTTTTTGGTTTGAGACGTCAATGTGTCGTTTGGTACCGCTGTTGGAATTATGTGCCGGAGTTTGTTAGCGTCTACGAATGCGTTGTAACAGAAGTGGGAAAGTTGGGTTTTGTGCACCGAGCAAGTGAGGCGACCAGTGTCACTTATTCCACATCCCACTGTGACAGAAACTTTTGAGTATTTTCGTTTAATGTTCTGATGTTTACTGGTCCAATAGTGATAGATTATGGAAGTATTGCGGACCTGGAAGTTTTGTGAGTTTCTTTTTGGCTCTTTGTGTCGGCTTGTGAATTAGCTCTACATCTTTGTCTGGACCCTTCCAGCATACTGCGTTATTGCGAAGCAAGAGTGGTGCCAGCGCGCATAGGAAAAGTGGAAAAGTTTGCAGTTTATAACTAAATTAATTGTCTTCGCACAGCCTTGTCACTCGATATTTGAGAAAGGTGTATAAAATTTACTCAGGTACTTGTAGATACTGAAGCTGCATCAGAAAGTGCTATTCCGTTGATCCATTCATACGCAGATTGTTTCGATTCGTTCCGAGGTCTTAGGATTACTCTACACTCTATTGTATTTTATTTAAATAATTGTTTGGGAAGCGATTTCAGAGGCATTGCTGGCCTTTCTCCTATGCTCTTAGTTTTATCTGAGAATCCGTTAAACACGTCTATTCATACTGCTCTACGAACACACATCTGGATGCTCCATCTGTTGAAGATCAAGAGTGCAGCCCATCCAAGCCTTTACTTTTCCTTTGCGCTTCAATGCTGAGCTTCTTGATTCAAGCTTTAGAGATGCTAGTTGCAAAGCGTCTCGTCCGCGGACGACAATCAATTTCTTCTAGGAATTATAAGTGGAATTTTTAACGTGGCTCTCTGAAACACATTCTCCACTTTTGACCCTCTCAACTCGTGTCCTTTTCTGTTTTAGCTTAGGGTCTTGGCATCTTCGATTGATAGTCCATGTGGTTCTTGTTCCAACGGTGGTGCATATAATTTATTGGTTAGAGCAGAGCCCACTCAAAGGTGGGATGTACTTGATTACAACAGTTGATGTGTGCATCTTGTACATATGTATGAGTCGACGTATTTTCAGATTTAACTAGCTTTTTGATGCTCAAAGTTTGATCATGAGGATATTTACAGTTGTAACATGTAGATCTCTAAAGCTTATCTTCGGCACGGTTAATCTACTGTTAGCGCTAGTAGTTACTCAACCAAAAAGTTAAAGAGTAATCTGTTGGAGAACCAATATCATTGCGAGAGATCCTTCCTTGTGTCTGGTTCTGATCTGATTGAACTTTTTTTGATATGATCTGATTGAAGGATCAGAAAGAGATAACTGGTACGTGATTAGTGGAATGATGTAGCTGAGGATTCAGTTTTAGATTTCGTCTTTTGTTAACATGAGCTGCTTATTATAGTTTTGGAAATATCATCCAGAATATTGGTTGCTGTTGTTTGGTTTTCTCAGTTCCTCCGAAAATGTCGTCTTTTGATTTATGTTGAGGACATTTTCCACTACCAGCGTTTTGTCAACGTAGCCGGTTTTATTGACATCACTTTTTTCTGGATCAATTCAGAATCTTCAGTCGTGCTAGCAGGCTGTCTTAGCATTCGTTGCATTGAGCTCGTCTGCAAGTGGTAGGAGCTTAACACTTGTCACTGGTATTTGTTTCTAATTAGCAAAAAATAACTAGTGAACTTGATTGATGTTGATGGGTTGCAGGTGTATGCCAGAAATCTTTCAAAATAGTTTTAGAAAGAAAATGCTGGAAATTAGTACCCAGTAGTTCTTGAAGTCGACATCTCTTGCTGTGAGAACCTTGGCATTAATGAAAATGGATGGGTTAGAGATTGAGAGGCACTTCGTTCGAAGAAGGCTGGATCCGTTTAGCAAATGTGACTGATAAACAATCTCTCTCTAAAATCGTTACAAAAGTGTCGGTACTCAAATATTTGAGTTGCACCCTGTTGCCCCTTTATCAAGGAACGAGCTTGTGTTTTCAATTAAATAAGTAGGCGAAGAATTGTTGGTTTACTTAGTGAGCGTCTTATTTCGAATACACGAGTTTCTTTTGGAAGGGTGTGGAAGAAGTGCTTTGCCTCTATATCTGAAGAAGAGATGGTTTCAAAAAAGATTCAAGGGACATGTAAACTTTGAATTCCACATAGTTATCTCCTTTTACATCCTGCTAGTATTAGTCATCTGGACAGTGGAAGGTTCACAGCAAGAACAGGACCAATTTGGCTTTGAAATAGTTTAGAAGTTCGGATTTTAGTTTCTATAAAGAGTACGGAAGATTGCCTCCTATACATTTGTTGTTAGAGTCAGTGTAGGATACCCTGTTGGTTCGAAGGCTTTTGTATGCATGGGTGCTATGGCCGCACCAGGTATTACATCCCCTGCCCGTATCAAGCTGACGGACTTGATTGCCCTTGATGGGCTTCCTTCGGAGAATTATAAGCTCGCTGTGGCAAATCTCGCCCAGTCGCTTAGAAGTTTTAACGCGGCCATCATCCAAGTTCCTGAGTCTGAGAATGTGCTGCTACGATGTGTACTGGACTCGGTCCGCATGTTTTTCCATTCGAAGCCCGTGGTGGGTGCAGATACTCTACACGTGGAAGACCTACAGAATTGGAATAACACTGTTGGTTACTACGCTGAACCTCAACATTCCAAAGAGATCTTTGATTTCCGACCTGGGAGGATGAATGTAGGAGGGGCTGCCGTGCTTGAGCTGCCACCTACCGGTTTGCCCGAGCTTTTTGCTTCGTTAGGCAGGGCAGCTCGCATTATCTTGGATGCCATTTCTATCTCGCTCGAGCTCCAAAGTTTTTCATTTACAGACCTCTTGGATAATGTTCCTTTGAAGGAGGGAGAAACGGCCACTTCAGTTCTATCAAGTTGCTGCCATAATAGGTATACTGATTTGTTCGATGATGCATGCGGTGTTCTCTATGAATGTCTCAATAGTTCAATGGCATGGTTTAGGAGTTAGCATAGTATATAGTGTAAAGTAATTTTTCATTCTTGTGAATTAAAATTGCTATGGTTATATTCGCTGTTGAGGAAATTGGATCTGTTACTTTGATTTGTAAAATGAACGAAGATGCTCTAATACCTTAAATTCCTAATGACATATGCAGACCTGGAGCTCATTTTTCAGCAAACGTGATGAATCCCGTGCAAGCAGCACCTCCACACTCCGAAGGAGACGCAGAAAAAGGGCTGCTGACCCTACTCAAATCTGACAAGCCAGGTCTTCAAATACGTGACGTACAAGGTCGGTGGTTTGTCGCGGACGCAGACTTGGATCCCCAAGACATGGTCCTCTTTACTGGAATGTCTCTCTATCAAGCTACTGGAGGCTACCTTGGTCCATCTAAGCATCGAACAGACAACATTGCTGACCTTGGTCAGGCACAAGGGTCCATGCCGTTTGGCCGGTGCACTGTGGCTTTCAAACTAATGCCCAGTTCATCTGCCATCCTACATTGTTCAGCAATGACCAATGCAGGTCATCATGTAGGAGGCCATTTCCAGCAGCCAATACCTGTTCAAGATTTTATGCAGCGATCAGTGGACCAGCTTTCGAGTCGATCCGGTGTTTCTGCTTTCTCTTTTGCAGCTCCACTTGAAGGTAGCTTTCTATGTTGTCTTCTTTTTGGCTCTAATACTATGGTTCTCAGTTGCTGAAAGTTCTGATATCCTCACAAAGAATAGATTGTACCGAAGTTTGTCTGTGCTGTATGACGCTTAGGTACCAAGAACAACACAACCGCGTCAGTAGCACTAAGTATTAAGTGGTAGTAGATCATTAATATCATCTTTGTGTCTCGGTTGGGATTGTTCAAGGCTGCGCTATTTTCTGATGGAAAGTGCCTAAGTTTTAGTTCCATATTACTGATATCGTGAATCTAACTGAACTTATTTTTAGTTATCGTTCCTGCTACTGCTCAATCGAAGGCAGCGATGAAACGGAAGAAGCAAGCATCTCGAGGTAAACCTCTCGCTCCTTCAAAGCGGTTACGGCTTGAAGCTCAACGTGTGCTTAAGGAACGAGTTCAAGAAATTGCTGACAGCAAAGGCTTGAAGATTCGATACTGCAATTTGAAGGAGTGCGAGGAGCAACACCTGAACGCAATGAACAGTCCTTGTGCAGCATTGCGAGCGCAGATGGGATGGCCTGCTGGTGTCCCATTTGTTCATCCTCACGACCTGCCTAACAAAGCAAAACAGGCTTTTTTAGAAGCCTATGAACCTGGCTGGACAGCGGCTCAGGATGCAGAGCTTCCGATGCGGGACGCCAGCCAAGCCCAACATAGCCATATGTTTAGTTGTAAGATTCTGAACTTGTTTTTGGGTTATTCCGGTAGTTTCTGTATCTTTGACAGTCTGCTAATGAATTACGCTTGATTAAGGACGAGGAGCCCATTATCATTATGTTGAAAAATGTACTTAATTTTTTTGGCTGCGAGGATTGCTTTCTCCTCTCGCCCTGGAAGAGTATTCTGGTGGTGGATGATTGTTACTAAAATACTTAGAATAGATATGCAGTGCTCCAAGTAATGTGGCGTAGTCCTCATGAAGTGACAGGAGCACAGCAATGCGGCGAGGACCAACGATGTCCCCTCAAGCCGACGATGATGGAGGATCGACGGTTCACTATGAAGGCAGTGTTTGATTATTTGCGAGCGAAAGGGAAGCCTGTTCCAACTGGAAAACCGCAGGTTCTGGGACACAAAGTGGATATCAGTGGTTTGGCCAAAGCCTCTTTCGAAGCAGGAGGGCTAGCCCAGGTACCTTGTTGTCTTTTTATTTTTCTTTTGTGAAAACCATGAGTACACTTTGTAGTCATATTAGAAGCATTTGTATCTTGAAATATTTCGTGTATTTTAATGATCGAGTTAGTGTGGTTTTAAAACTATGGTCTTAGTTACTTGCTTCATGGACGATTTAGTTCTCAGTTGTGCAAGGTCTAGTTGTAACTTTCTCCATTACATATTTGAAACTCGTTAGATGTGATTGCCGTGAGGTGTAATAGGCCTTATAATGCATAACTCATCCTGAAATCATTGGGGCGTCTTAGTTTGGTGCAGAGAGTGGCTTTCAGCGTTTCATCGGGGCTCACTTCCAGCTAGAAACTGCGTCAGAGCGTGACAAGGAGCGGGCCCTGGAGAGACTCGAAAAGCTTTACGACCAAGTTTTATCTGATTACGTTGAGGACTTAGTTGCCAGCAGTCAGCAAGTTGGCTGATCTGAAGAAGCATCAGCAGACAGTAGCAGTCATGATTCTAATTTTAGCTTCCTTGATGAAATCTTGGGCAACTCATCATTATGGCCATGGTACTCTCTCATACCTCGGCATCTTCTATAGAATCTTAGGCATAGTTCATAGTCTTCTTTTTGTTCTTCCCATCGCATTTTTCATGCATCAGTGTTTTCGGTTGCTGTCACGTGATGTCCTCACCGTTGGCAAACCTTCGTTTAATGCAGGCAATCGTGAAGACAAACTTTGCTGAAATTCAAAGCCACTGCACTATCATGGTTGGCAGTGTTCTTGAGCACGTTATACGGACTGAGTTTTTGACAAGCAGTAGGATGATGTCTAAATATCCTCGAGGATTAATGTGGAATATGCAGGTTGTCCTCTTATATTCTTGTCCACGTTCTTGTTCGTCTTAACTTCAGAATGTGCTCTTCCCAGCTCTCGAAGTTATAACCATAGTCTTTGCGGGTTGCACCTCCTCATTTGTCAACGTGTTGCAACTAAGCTGGCTTGAATAGCAAAAATTGCGCACAGTAAGTAAAAAGTTTAACCTCTTTTGGGTAGTAAGAAGTAGGATGCTGAAATGAATTTTGGAGTTCATTAATTTTTCTTTATTTTAATGTTGATTATATAGCAAGGAGTTCGAGTGAATTTATTCATTGAGTACTAGCAAGCTCTTAGGGCTTTCAATAGTGTAGGAGCTAATCTGAACAAGTCTTGATAATGTTTTTGAGATGGATTGGTGATTTGTAGTCTACCGTTGTAAGTAGAGTGGCAAGAAGTTTGGAAGTAGTTTAGACTTCCATCCACAGAATCTTGTGGTGAAATTTTAATCATTGGACTATTCCAAATGCAATTCTAAAAATTTTGTTTTGTAGTATTTTGGAAGTACTTCCTGGCACTTGTATAATATCTTAAGATATAATATCCACATTGGCCTCACTTCAAATATATTAACAGGTTTTCGAATATGGGTTGAAGGAATTAATTAGAAGTAGCTTTGAAATCGTGGTGAAGGTAGTGTGAAAATGACAGAATAAACATTAAATCTAACATTTCTGTTTATACGCTACACTTTTACGTGGTTTTTTTTTTCAGTATATTGTACTTGTTTTCAAATAAAAAGTAACACTCGTAAACAAATATTACAAAATATTATTTTAAAAAATAACTACTTGTTTTATAAATTAATATTTTAACAATTTCGAAAAGCCACTTTGCAAACACTTTGCTTACGTTCATCATTCAATTTTATAAAACATAAATTTTTTATTGTTGTTTTAGATTTTTTTATTAACAAATTCAGCAATAAACTATTAATACAACACCCATTACAGTACCTTATTAATAATAAATTGTAACAAATAGCTTGCCATACTTTATGTATTTTAGTGTAGCCGGTCTTATTGTGATGAAAGACAATTTAATTTAATTTTATAATTTTTGGTTTCTATTCAGTTATTAATTTGTGAATTGGTACTCTGTTGATGTTTGTATAAATATACTGTGAACAAATAACACTAGGGAAGGTGAAGTTACACGATTTTTATATTTATACTCGTTTTACACAATTTTCTGATTTATATTAAAATGCAACGTATTTTTTTGTGTATCTTTTGTTGTGGCTATTTTGTGCAGTACTATTATGTGTGTTTACATATAATTGGTCATAACATAATCAAAATCATTGTAGGGGTCGTTTTAATTCACTTCATTGACTTGTGCTTTGTAAAGTTTTTGTAATATATAATCATTTCAAAATAAGTTCCCCATCATAAACAAAATAATTAGAAACTTTAATACAATTTTGTAATAATTTATAATACTATTTAGTATTATTATCCTTAATTGTACGTTATGTTATGTTTTAGTGTACCAATTTTTTGGAATAGATTTCAACCAAAAAGAAATTGCTACATATAAAAAACTTTAAGTTCCATAAAAACATAAGCTAATCATTTAGCACTTCATTCTAAACATGCACATTATGATTAGAATTGATTTTGTTTTCAATTTCTAAATGTTTTGTTCACAGCGAATTCCATTAACAACAATGCTCAAACACATGCACACAGCAAGCAAGTTGACATTGTTTAAGAAAAATCCTATTATTATAAATTTACAACATTACAATAACTCACAAAAGAATAACATTTCCATGCTTGGATTCTACAAAATTTAAACTCTTATGAGAAACTACAATGTGAGTAATGTGAGTAATTTTTAAAAAATATATAAATAATAGAGTACATCCGGATAAGAAATCTACTTCTTGACTAAATTCTGTGATGAGACAAGTCGGTGGCAGTCTTTTACAAAGGTTGACAGATCTTGTCACCGACATAACTCAGAATCCGCTTCGCAACCACTGCCACTGTCATCCAATTATTGAGCACCGGATCTCGGCGAAACCTCCACAACAAATCTTAACTTCGAGTAGGATTTGCAGTTATAAAACGGAGAGCAGTGTGGCAGATTGCGGCGCCTTGGAAGCCTCCAAAACTAACGACTTGACTGTCACCGACTTGTCTCATCACAGAGCGATACGCTAGATCAGAACGATGAAGCGAGCTTCGCATCCACCGCGTGCATCCGCTAAAGCACTTGGGTACGCCGTGCTTTGTCCATAGGAAAGCAAGAGCCAAATGCTTGGCCCCCACAACGCAGGTTCGCTCGTCTAACAGGCAGCTAGCTATCCCCGATTGCATGTTGAGCGCTTGTCTGTAAAGCATACGATACAGCACCTCGCATTGCGGCCACAAGGTTGGTGGAGTCTACAGGCTATTCAGAAATTGAAGAACCACTGCCAGTTTGGCCATGACGCGCTCATTTCTAGACATTGCAGTCATGTGTGGAACGGAGTCAAGGCGCCACCACCCTACTCCCCTACCGCGCATGCGTGCTGCGTCACTGATTCGTGGACTTGACCGGCGCAAGGCGTGATATGTGTGAGCTGAACACGTCCAGGAATAGTGAAATGATCAGGCTGTGATTGATCTTCTTTACGTCGGGGCATTAATGAAAACAATATCACCGCACAAATCCAGCATCAGTTGCATAATTTCAACATTTTTGAAGCTACGCGCGGTCATACCTTTTGTCATATAATTGGTTCGGAGGCTCGTGGTTCTGGACTTGCTTAGCAAGCCCGCATTCTGCAAAAATCGCGACGGCAACTTCATCAGACCCGCTACTAATTCATGTGGTCACCAAATACACTTGCGCTGGAATGATGCTGCTGCCGCATCGGAAACCCGGATGAACCATCAGCCCCACCAGTGCCTCGAACGGAAGTGCACCTCCCTCCCCCTCCACAACAATCTCGCCATTTGAAATCCCAGGCACCGCGGACTCCATGTACGTCGGGTTGAACTGCGAGCCCTTCCGCACCGATAGCATCCTCGCTGGTGGCTGAAACGAGAACGCCAATCTATGCAGCAGCCACACTGACACCGCCAGCTTCAAGTAACTCTCGTAAAACCGGCTCGACGGGTGTCGACCCGCACAGATTTCGTCGCTGTGGTTGAAGTCTCCAAAGAACGCCTCCTCCGTCGACTCGCTCACTATGTGCAAGAACTTCTTGAAACAGAACTCGCGAAGGAAACCGCTGTGCGCCCGATTGTCCGTCAGCAGTGTTACCGTCTCGGAGACCGTCCTGTACTTCAAGTACTCCTGAAAGCACGACTTCGAGTGCTCCTCGATGTCGAAGATCTCGGTCATGCAACTCTCTATGTTGAAGCATTCGCTGTCGAAGTCTAAGAACATCCGCCGCAAGATGAACGACTGAACCAAGAACTTATAGTCCGACGGCCTCGCCACGATCACCTCCGACTCCAAACAGATCTGCTCGTCCAGATCCCGAGCTTTCGTCAAATGCTGCTTAAGGTGCGACATGAACGTCCGAGAGAAAGTGTGCGCAGCCTCCTTCACGCCAATCACCGCAGATAGAAGAGTCTTGGAAGACGGCCCTGTGCTCTCGTTCACGGAAGGCTTGTAGGGGATTCCCCGCGATGCCAGGTGCTCCTCCATCTCGTATAACTGTTCGCTCAGCTCCTCCACCACCCGGTTCAGCTCCTTGATCTCCCCTCTCAGCTTCTCTTCCATCCCCTCCTGCTTGGATTCTCGCACTGCGATGTCCTTCGCGTGTGCCTTCACCACCTTCTGCACGGCTTTCTCCCTTTTCTTCAGCTCCCGCCTGTATCGTTCCTCGATCTGTCTCAACTTCCGCTCCCTGTCTTCCAACTCCAACTTGTAATATGCCTTCCACTTCTGTAACGAATCAATCTTCAGCTGCTTCCTCATGTTGCTCCCCCTCAGCCTCGCCATCTCCTTCTCCAAGGCACTCCTAGGACTACCTCCGTTCTCTCCACCCTTGAACTCCACCATAGAGGCCATCGCGTGATCGCCACCATTCCTGCTTTCACCCTTCGCTAAGTCACTGCTTTGTGACGTTTGCGAGAAAGACAGGGACCTCGATTCGCTGCTCCCCGCCGAATTCAACCCACTATCTTCGCCCATCGTTCCACACCTCCCATTCTGAGCGTGATTGTTTGCATACATTATGGCACCACATGTCTCTTTCGTCTCCGCGATCCAACTGTGACCTTTCCCATCAACCCCACAAATGCCAACACCGGCGTTTATCTCCGCTTCCGCGACCAATCTGTCGTGCAGCTCCATAGCATCTCTATACAACTCCTCCGCCAGAATTTCCGCTTTGCTCAGGCTGTCTTTGTCCGGATCCATTTCATCCTCTTCTGCCTCACACCCCCACATCTGACCATCGTAATCTTTCAGTCGTTGCGAAGCTTGCGCATCACGAGCGCTACCATCCGCCCATGTAGACCCTTCCGCATGCGCGGGCCTTCCATGGCCGACTTTTTCCTCAGCCTCTAGTCCTGAATACCCACTTTCATTGTGCTTGTTTTCCAATTCTAGTGACGCCTCTGCTCCATTTCCATCTCTGTTCTGCGACTGGTATTCAACAAGTTCTCTGTATTCCCTGTTCAGCTCTTCGATCCTGTGATCGTTATAAGTGCCTTTCGAAGAGATGCTGACTACTGGAAGACCCATCATCTCGTTCCTGCCCTTCGCATTCTTGACGTCATTTGGGCGAGACTTGGAGCTAGTGAAATCTGCAGCTTTGGTCGCACTGGACGCGTCCGAAGCGGCATCATCCTCTTTCGACATGGGCATGGGAGATGCCGGCCGAGAGCTGCGACACAACATCGCTTCACATGTCAGTGCAGGTCCTCGAACGCTTCGCTTCACAGACGGGATACGATAAATGATGTGCAACAAGTTACGGGATCCAATGTCTCGTTGAGCTTCTCGCTTCGACGGCATGTCATCTCATTTCCCGCTAGAATTTTAAGGTTACTACCATCCCTCGCTGTAAAATTGAGTGAGAAGACTAGCTCTCATTGTTAAACCCCTGCATATTGAACATTGCTGACACTCGCGACCATTGCATCCCACCCTGCACACTCATCAACGTAGGGTTCAGGTTCACCTCGGCCGATTCGAAGCCTTCCACAAGTCCGAAGCTTCAATTGCAGCCTTCCGAGCCGCTTTCACTTTCAGTGCCTCTTCTTCTATCCACTTTCCTTGCTCGCGGAGACTCTCGTACTCCAAACCCAATGCCTCGAAGTCGGAATTTGCTCTCTCACTGCCCGCAGATGCTAACCATTCCATCTCCATTCTCACCTCAGCAGCTCTCTCATCCTGGAAGGAATTCACAATAAAATTCAACAGCGATCAGTGATGCGCATCCACCACTCGCAAGCATCAGGTGTGCAAAGACGACATCATGACATTTCCGCACATCCACCCCCAACGTTACTCCAGCTCAACAGTGCACAAACTCATCAATACAAAACCCAAATCACTCTGTGCAATCATGCAATGCCTCGTCAAGACAGCCCTACAAGCTCTTTCTGATGTCTAAGTTGCTTCTCCGCCTCCGACTCTTTCTGTTCCTTCTTCTGCTTCCTCTCTGCAGCGAACATCTTTCTCTTCTGATGAGCGGGGATCTTCTCCTCCGAACGTGCCTTCTCTATCTCTAGTTCCACGTGAATCTTCTTCAGCTCGTCCGGAACTGACGCGGGCTGAGGCTCGGAACCCGGCTCCTTAAATTCCCTGGACCCATCCGAGTCAACTTCTCCCTGTAAATGATCGACACACGATAATTCACAATTTTAGGGCTCCAACGATGCACGCACGACCTCCTCACAATAGAACTCTGTTACGGCAAGACAACACAGGTTGAGGTTTGCTAGTCTGTACAAGAATGTCCAGGCCCTTCATCGTGTTGTTGTAGATTTCCCATGTCACGGGTATGTTGTTGATGCGGTATTCGCTCGTGCCACTGCCCGTAATCGCTCTCCCAAACTTTATTTCCTCGCCGCTTGCGGTGCGGTAAACCAGCTTCACAAATGCAATCTTCCCCCTCGATTCCCCGAACTCCCTGTCGTCCAAGCCGGCCCTCTGCACCACTCCCCGCAGCTGAAACGACCGCACTCCCAGAACAAAACTGATGGCCTCCACCAGATGGCTTCTACCTGCTCCATTGGCACTCACAATTGCTGCAAAATCACTGAATGGGCCAATTATCTGGTGACACTTGTGCGACTTGAAATTGAGTATGTCGAGTCGTTCAATGCTCCCCGAGGCCGTCAGAGCCGGCATTGTGTACCCTTTGCTTACGGTTGGGGTCCACAGCTCCCACTAATCTCTTGGTGTGGATCATGTGCTCTATATCACAGCGATTCTCAGCTCCAATCCTCGTGACCATTCGACTGGCTGTTCTTAATCAAAAGCACGTTGTTCTTTCAGGAAAGCTGAAGGTAATGAGACACTTTCAGCTACATTCAGAATTGTTCGCGTGACAGAGAAAAAATCACCAAGAACCGAAGTCATGAGGTGAACCCAAACCATCGACAAGTACAGAAAACGCCAGAACCTGTCACTCTAAAGTTGTAAACGTAAAGCTTGTGCAGATACGCATTAAGTAGAGGCCCAGATTAAGTTCTCCAAAACAACCACGACTCCTACATTTCTGTATTATTCTTCCGGCTCCTTTTGGTGAGCGGTAGCATTGAGAGAATCCGAATTTGTGTTAAAGCTTTAAATGTTGCCTCGAAACCACTGACAAGCACAACTGCATTGCCGCATGACTCTGAGATTGGACAACTGGCGCTGATGAAAATTAGCCTGAAGTTTGGGCAACAAATATGTCGATCTAAATACGAACGAAGTGGGAGACACTAGTGAAAAAGACCTGTTCCACAAGAAGCGTGAGATGAAGTACGTAAGCCTCCCAAACTCTGCTTTCTCCCTTGTCTCAAACCTCCTTCAACGTCTACGGGAATGCAGATCGAGTGCCAGGAAGTTCATGCATATGTGTCGGGCGAGGCCAAACCCAGGGGCTTCTCCACAAACGAGTAGGTTATCAAGAGAACTATTCCAAAGAGATCGCGATCCCTACGCATCCACCGCCTGAAACGCACCCCAACTATCCAGCCCAGATGCAAAAGTAGGCGAAATTCAGTCCGCACTCCACCACTGCGTCAAACATCCAGCATTGCGGACCTGTACCAAGGGACGACCAATTCCAGCTATCAACGCCGTTTAGATATGAAATCCCCAAAACCCGCAACTCCCTGCCCTCAGCACCAATATATTTCGATACTATCCTTGAGACTGGACCCCCGAATCACGTCAAATTCCTCCACCCCCGTTCAGTCGACACTCTCACCTCACCAGAAACAAACCCACCTCCTCATCCTCCTTATCCTCCTCCTCCTCCTCGTCATTCCTGTGCACACTTCATCCCAATGATAATGGCAACACTAGGAAAGCAGCGAGAGCAGTTTGAGAGGTGGTGGGGAGCTAGCCTGCGAGCGGAGGCGGGAGTGGGAGGGAGTAGTGAGCGCGGCGTCCCCTTGCGACTTGCACGTTGATTTGTTACCTGGCATTTCCGTCCTGATTACACATCCGGTAGATGTCTCGGCGCACGATTTCAGGGACGAGCACGATTTCAGGAGTGCGCACATGCACGAGAGGAGAGCGAATCCGACTCCATCGCTCGCTCTCAATCTCGCTCTCTCTCGCTCTCGCGTCGACGCCGCCCCCCTTCGCTTCCGGAGCTCGGCGTCACTTCATTTATGAATTTTCCATCCGCCGAGTTTCGTCCATCTTCGTCCATCTACTTTCGTTTATTTTTAGGACACAAATCAAGTTTTGGAACAATGTTGACATTAGTGAAATGTTTCTTTTTATTATTGTGATTAGAGTTTTATTGCATGGGAAAAAGACATGATATGTGAGCTGAAGATGTGTTGTTTGGGGGTGCAATTGATTGTTCGTTTGTTTGTTTGTTTGTTTGTGATGACAAATATTGTTTTATGAGATGTTGTGTTCAGTTACCATGTTCTTTGTGTATATATGTTACAGTTCTTTTGTACCTTGGTAGCCTTATGTCAATAACATGTTATTATTATTAGTATATTTCTTTTTTGAAAACTTCTTTAGAGGTATTTTTTTACAAGATGAGATGGGGAGAAAAAAAAACTAAAAACATGGACATGTCAAATCATGAAACAAACAGATATCATAACAAACAGTTGAGTGGAATTTTCCATAACTTTGAACAAAGTGGTAAATTGGCAAATATTATTTCACATCCTCTCCCCTTCCCCCAAACACACACATACCCAGTAATAATAAACATGAAATTTAATCCCATTTTCTTATATTCTCTAATTTTTAACATGATCACTCAAAATGAATGTTCCATTATAAGTAGACAATCAAACTTTTTTTTTTCAAATTAAATTCATTCAAACCCTAGATCACATTGTCTCTCTTCTCTTGTTAGGTAATGTCATGTGTGAACTGCACAAAACATCTAAAAAATAGAGGAGCATAGGCTTGGGATGTTTTTTCTACATTATAATTTGTCCGGATATGAATCCAAAGTTAAAAGAAGGAGGTTAGACTGTTCTGTCAGTACCCCACAAATCCAAATTGTGAAAAAGCCAATCTCATGCAGAGGAACAAAACCCATGAAAGTGTCTATTTTTTTTTTAATTACATTCTTTAATATTTCATTTCATTTTAGAAAAAAAAATTGTTGCATACATGGAGAGCCAACATTGGATTCTTGTGCTTCCCTCCCTTCTTTGTACTTAACACTCACCAGTGAGCTTTGCAAAAACATGGTTTATTTTTTTGTCCGTAATAAAGTGTTCTGGTATTAGGTTGATGTCTATCTACTATTTGATCCCAGCATGTTGTTTTTAGCTCATTTGTGTGATCCCTAGAATGGAGTGTGACATCTCTGACTGCCCACCTTTTGGCTTCTGAAAAACAAAACACTACAAATAGAAAAGAAGAAGAAGCTCCATGGAATGGACTTAAAAAGAACAAGCAACTGCTGTTGGAACTTCCATTTCTTTTTATCCAATGCTGCTGAGTTTATGCATATTCAACTGCATTGACAAACATGGTTTCATTGAATGTGATGGCACAACTTTGTTTGGTTAGAATTCTAGCCCTAACCCTAACCCTAATCCTACACTGGGGCATGCACCTTGTTGACACTTCACAGCCTTGTTTTTCTTTCGTCAACATGCACAAAAAACACCATATTTAATGTGGATGTGACATTCAATATTAAATGGGATACTGGTGTATAATTAGAGTGGCTGGACTTAATCTCATGTTCACTCAATTCTGGTAACTAATTGAAATAAAGAATGCTCATGTGCTTCATAAGAATCTTGGACTTTCTAGTAAGAAGGCAGAAATCAAATGCTTAGGTATATCAATTCACAGGCACAGACTTTTTTTTTTTTTTTTTTTTTTTTTTTGTTATACTCATGGGTATGGATATTACATTTGAAATTTTAATTCTACCTTTATATGATGTTGTATGGAAAGTTGAAAAGGAGAAACACAAAGAACAACATTACCAGAAACTTAAATTGCAATGAGTTGTAAGTAAAACATATTGCTGGGAGATGAGTTTTCACTTAATATCATCAATAATAAATAAATAAATCAATAAATTTTTTTGTTAAGTAATATTTTAATATATGTATGTATATATATATATTTTTTTTTATTGCCAAAAAGATAGTTGTTTCTAGAAGTTTTAAGGTTGTATGTTAACAATTATGGGCTTGTTGGATTGAAAAATGTAAAGTATTATTTCACAATAACTTACTTGTAGAATTAGGTTGACATGTATATGTAATAATTGGATCTTCCTCATCCAAAAACTATTGTTGAGAAATCAAAAACACAATTTAACAAAGTTGAGACTTTTTGAATAGTGATTTTCACTTATGCATGAATTATTGGTGGTATTGAAGATATAAAAAAGAGTAATTACAATTAGCAAGTTTTGGCAAACAATGGTGTACTTCTGGATGATGCAATAATTAGTTAATAATATTTCTATCAGTGCATGAATAAATACCATATATAATAAGTTGATTTTTAATAAAAAGAAATATTTGTACATTTAACATCTAAAAAATTGAATGTGTTAACAATTTCAAGTATTAATACTTTCTTGATTGTACAGTAAAAGCTAAATCTATAATCAATGATTAAACAATTGTAGTTTAAATAATCTAACCATAATACAGGTATTATTTTGTTTTGTTTTTATTTTATTTTTTATTCAATTTTAACTCTTGAAAGATTTTTTTTGTGGTATGTTAAGATCTCTCTCTATGTAAATCTATGTAATTATAATATCTTTTTATGTCTTTAAAAAAGATAATGTTACAATCAAATATCTATTTAGTTGCACTAATAAAATCATTTCTTTTCGTTTCTTCCATGCTTCATAAATACATATGTTTATGTAGTGAATAGCTTCTATAAAAGCACACGCTATTTATAACAAAAATTACAACATGAGTTTAGAGTTCATCATCAATTGATTAAAGTCCAATCTTTTTTATAATTTAGTATAGACTATATTTTTTAAATTTTTATGCTATTTTATTTATTTAATTAATTAATTTTACATTGAAAAAAATTATTCAGGATTAATCATTAAAAATTATAATCAATTCAAATCTAATTAAGTAATTATTCAATCAATCTAATATTTTTTTGTTGCCAACTAATACTCTAGATTTTGTTTTGTACTCTTTTTTACTTTAGTTTAAGTTTGTCAATTTGAATGAACAAACGTCTTCTACTTCTTTTCTAAAAATTAAAAAGAGAAGAATCTAAAATTCCATAAAAATTAATATATATTTTTAAAATATATTAATATCAAATTTAAAATATAAAAGTTAAATAAATCAGTCCAACATTTCTAAATAATATTTTTATCTAGATTTCTTGGTCCTTTTTATTGATGCACATCTATAAAAAAAATAATAGCATGTTATAACTTATACTAAAAATATATATTTATAATTTAAATATAATAAAATTTCTAAAGATATATCCTTTAAAAAATTAAATTTTGATACTCTTATAAAATCTCTTTTTTTAAAAAATAAAATTACATATATATATAATTCTTTATGTTTAAGAAATAATATTTAAAGAAAAAAACTCAGTTAATATGTTATATAAATGTTAAATATTAATTAGTATATATATATATATATATATATATATATATGATATAGCATGTAGATAAGGCTTTTAAACAATAAATTTTAATTTTTTTAAAAAAATAAATAATCATAATAATGACATTCAAATTATACCTAGAATTTTATTATTTATAAGTGTGATTATAAAATGAATTATAATTTGGTTTAAGTGTCACAAACACACAGCTAATTACAACTTCAAGAATTTTTTCGAAATTATTAGAATATTTTATAAATATCTACATATTTTTAAAATTTTATGTTGATTTTTAGAAGCCAATATTTTATGAGAAAAAAATATATGTTGTGAAATTGTTGTTTGAATAGACGCTTCTTATTATACAATAGTTAAGTTTACCACTTTTTTCTGTTTGATTCTCAAATTTTCAACCTAAAATTAGTAGAAAATTATGACTCACACTCCATGTCTCTGTGGAAGAAAAAGTTTTAGCTTGAACATATTCCTTTACAATTGTTCTATTGACTAAAGTTAAGAATTGGTTTGTTTGTTCGTTTGTTTCTTCTTATTTTTTTATTACTTTCTCTTGAATTCCTTGTCTTTGAAAATAAATAAAAGTCCATGTCTTAGTATAATAGAGTAAGAACAGTTAAATCTCAAAACATGACAAACAAGTAATATATATATATATATATATATATTATTTTATTGTTCTTGTTTAATGTTAATTGTGTCATTTTGATGTCATATCATTGTTTTTTTATAAATAAAATAACTTCAATAATAGCCAATAATATATTGTGATAAACTTTTCAATCTTCTTCATATCTCATGTCCATGTCTCTACTTGAATCTGATCATGCTTCAAGTTGGATCTAATACCACAAAAGATCGACACACAAGGGATTAGACATATAGCAATTCTATCATCATCAACAGATGTAACATTTTAGAAAATGTCATACTCATTCAGTAATTTGACTAAAACAAATAGTGACATGGACATTATTTTCCTCTATTTCAACATTCTCTAAACAAATTTCACCAAGATATCTTTGCATTCTAATGCCCACTATTGTCAAGCAGCTACTAAGGAGGTGAGAGGCCACAACTTTTAATTCCTTTGATTAGTTGGAATTGGGAAACTTTTTAATTTTAGAGTTCAAAGGATTTAAAAATTGTGGGTTCTCACCTTCTCCCCTAAATATGAAGACCCTTAATATATTTTGACAAATTGGATACAATTTTGTATGTAATGGTGTTGATGAATGGAAGACAAGAAGATGGGGATTCTATAACAATTCAAACACACTTGTGGTTGCATTCCACAAGCTTTAGGAATGTATTAGTGAAATATCAAAAACTTATACCAAAAGTTGCAAATGTAATGCTAATAGTGAAAATGTGAACAAATGTAGTCATTAATTGGCAATGACGCAATTAAATATTAGCAAGCTCATGACACATCACTTGAGCTTTTGAAACCCTAAAAATATTCCTTTGAATTGTGGAGTTGCCACAAACACAAAAATCCCATCAACATGTCTTTGTGAGTACATGATTAGCAATAGAACTGCACTCCTTTCTACCTACAATTTTAATAGACCTGGTAGATGGTATCCTGTATTTATACATGTATGTATGGATACATTGACAGATAGATAGACTCTTTTGCAAATAATTTTTTAAGATTCACAAAATCAAAAAACTTGATATTTTTTTAAGTTTTTTAATTTTTAATTTTATCAACACAAAAATAATTTACGTGCACTCTTTTCTAAATATTCTTTTCAATTTTTTAAAAATATCACTGTTTTGATTATTACATAAAAAAAAAAATTAAATAAATCTATTAAATCCAAGAAATTTAAAATTTTCAAATTGTTCAAACATCAAAAATTTCTTAGTCTCTTCTTTGTGTGTGACAATTGTCAAGGATAATAAATAATAAATATTGAATAATGAATCTTATTATGTTTTTTTATTTCTAATATATTTTTGAACATAAACTGTATACATTTTATTATTTATTTAAAAATATATTTTGATTGAAGTTTAAAAGAATTATAAAATTTTATATATAAATTAAATTTATAGGAGATCAAAATTTTAAAAAATTAGATACTATCGTGGCTTTAAAATCTATATGTTATCTTAGAATTAATCAAAGCTAAGAAAAAAAATCATGTATAGTTTTAACACAATCAACATGCTTATATTTTTAGATGTTTAAAAAGCATATTGTTTTGAAATTTTTCTTTGAAACCACTAATAGATTTTTAATAAGAATTTTTATTTTGTCAAAATTTTAAATAATAACATAAAAAAAATAATCTTGTAAAAAAAAAAAAAAAAAAAAAAAAAACAGAATTTATTAAAAATTGCATCAATAATTCATTTTTTTAATTAATTAATTTACCATTTGTCTTATATTTTATTTGTGTAAATATTTTTTCTTGATTCATTTTATCAAAGTTTTGTGTTATTTCATTCTTTTTATTATGTTTTTCATGGATATATTTAATATTATTGGTAGTGTTGAAATATTAAAAAATCCAGATTATGTAGTTTAGAATAGATTTGATTTTAATGTTCCGATACATTAGTGCCACAAAATATAAGTGTACATCATCAAACTACACCTCCCAGTAACTTTAATCGCTTTCTAATTTTAGAAAACTATTACAATATCTTCTGAACTATTATACTATTTTGTGTTAAACTTCAAACCCTTCAAAATCTTTTTGAGCCCATAACTTTCTATAGTATTCTATGTTTATTTGACAACATTCTGTAGTTATCTAAAAGCCTCTCTTAAACAGTTTTAAAATTTTTGGAACATGTTATAAGTCTATATAATCTTCTCCAAGATCAATTGCTATAATACCAATAAAAAGCCAAAATGAGGGATGGATTAGTTTTATGGAGACAAATTTTGAACAATCCAAATGTTACGGTATTTTTAGCTCTATTATTCGTTTTTGTTTTTGTTTTCATTTTGGTTACTCAACTACATGTTTGATTTGATTTTTGAAAATAGTAAAAACAATATCATAGAACAAAATTCACATAGTACCTTGTTTAAATAAGAACTTTGAAATGTTTAATAGTACCCAGCTATAACCATCTGTAAGTACAGCACACAAACAACAATGTTTACTTTCAAATTTTGTAAAACTGAAAAGCAAATGAAAATAACATATTTCTTTAACACCACATAAAAACCATGAAAACCATTGTACGAGAAGTTGTGATTGGTACAAACAATAAAAGCATGTTTAAAGATAAATAATGATAAGAATAATAATAATGTTATAATTTTTATTTAATTACTTCATTTTACATTATAATTCCGAAACCTGACAAGCCCTATAATTAATATTAAAAAGAAAAAAAATACATTTCAAAAAGTAAATATGATAGTAAATAAACATTTTCAAAACAATATTATTTTCAACAGACCCTAAAAAATTACTATATAATTATATAATTTATCTAATTAAAATAAAAGTTTAAAGTATTCTTTTATTATCTGATTTTTAATATGTTTTTGATAATTATCATGTTTTTAAGTTTGGTAATGGAGTACCAAATAAAAAGTGAACAATCGAGTGTAACCGATATTATTAATTTTATTAATTTTTATGAAATAAATATTTTATTTTTATTACTATAATTAACCAACTAATTAATTATAACTAACAGATAATATTTTACACTTTCGAGTGAAAAGTCACCACCCATAGAACTCCGGGAGACTGACTCGAAACTTATCCGCATTCACACGAGACTGAAAGTCTCGTTCAGTCATTCCCGTGCCAGCTCAGACTCAACTGCCAGATCAGGCATCCGAATAGGACGACGAAAGCTCCAGCTGTACAATTCGCGCCAAAATTTGTCATCCAGTCTGTCAGTCTCAATCAATGCGGCCGTTCGTCACTGCGGATTGCACACACTGGAACCCAGCGGAGGATGAATGCCGAAATAGAACGAATGAAGGAATCCATCCTAAGGCCCGGGGGTCTGAAAAGCATGCCACCTCTCTAGAGCGAGTCTTCATCTTCGTCTTCATTCGCTAGGGCTCTCTTTTTGTGACTGGGCGGCATGAGCTCCGGAGTGGTCGATCATGGATATGGTGTGCGGAGTGAGCTCTCGCTGGCGTGTCGATGGTTGATTATGTAAGCATTTTCCTTAGTCTCTACTTCAGCGCGTGTCTTTTTTATCTTTCTTTCTTTCTGTACAAAAAGGGGAATAATTACAACACTTTATGATACGATTTGAGTCTGTGGTAGAGGTTCGAGGGTGTGTTGAATTGATGTTTGGGATAAGGGCATTGAGGATATATGTTTCGAGTACAAGTCACTGAGGTTGTAGATGTGTAATGTTTTGACGCGAGTTTTGGAATAGAGATTTTTTTTCTTTTTTTTTAGCAATCGGTTGATGTGAATTGTATGACGCCTTTCTAGAGTGTAGAGCAAGGAGTTATTGAAGGTTGCTTGAAGCGTCGTGTGGGATTGAATGAAGGTTTTTGAACTACGGGGTTTAGAAATGAGATTCGATTACTGAGTGGTGGTGTGGAGCAGACGCAAGAAAGGATAGGGTGAGAGATTTGAGTAAACAGGGTATGTGCGGGATAGGTGAGCCTTAGAGATGGCATTAGTGGATCGTACAAGGGAAAGTGAATAGCATTGGTTCTAGAGAAGCTTCGGTTGTTGGAAATAGTGCATTCTGGTTGTGCGTGGGAACGTAATATGTAATAATGGAGGAGGAGCTGGTGAGGAGCACGATGCTTTCGATTACCCGTTCCAGAAGGAATGTCCTTCTTGCGTGCGGTGCCCTAGCAGCAGGCGGATATGTGACTTACAGGGTTTACCATTTCCGGAAACGACTCCGCGTATATCTTTTCTTCCAGTCTTTCTCGTCTCTTCTTGAGGTCCTCTCTCAAGGGAGCATCTCTTTTGCTATCATATTGAGTGACCTTCATGGATTTCTCGTCTCCGACAAAGACGAGGTGCCACAGTCCATCAAGCAGCTTCTAAAACTTGCGTCCTCTCATGAGGCACAAGAGGGCATCGCCGCGCTGTCGGCCGCCGTGAGTCGTGGAGTTTTGTCGACATTTGTCAGTGGCAAGTCTGTTTCCTTGAGCCTTGAGCATGAGGAGCAGACTCGGAAACTACAACCTTTGCGGAGCACCTCGTTGAGTCCAAGGGGAGCTGGGCATCCCGAGGAAACGAAAAACGTGATTAAGTGGAGTGGCGAGGATATTCGTGTCTTGCAAGAGGGTATTTCTCCTACCTCTACCTCTCTGGATGATAGAGCTCTATCACCAGATGAAGATGAAAACACCAAGGAGTTCTCGAAGAATTGCGATGTAGTATTGGAAGGCAACGGTTGGACTAATGCTGGAAGCATTCTGAACCATGCCAAAACTCAGGTCAGTTCATCGATTGTAAGAGGCACGAAGGAAGTTCTACAAGAAGGATCAGGTGTTGGGTCCGATGTCAGCGGGAACGGAGAAAGAATTCTTTCTGGGAAACGGAAAGGCAAAGAAGATTTGGTGGACAGGCTGGTTGATAAGCTCTTTTCTGATTCCGGAAAGGGTTTTGCATCGGCAGTGGTGGCCTCTGCCTCTCGTAGTTTCGTTGCCTCTGTCATAGAATACATCAATACTTCTAACGCTTTGTCACGAGAAGACGAATCGGGAAGTGGAGGTGGACTCGTGAAGAGTTTAGTTGCATTTGCAAGCAGTGTCGAGGGCAGATCAGCTATGACGGAATGTATTCAAAATTTTGTTGGAACTGCTGTATCGGTATATCTGGATCGGACGAAAGATATCAACACTTTTGATGAACTTGTAGCTGGATTAGTGAAGCCGGAACATCGAGGTCCAATCACTGATCTGTTGACTACTGTTTGCGAAGTCTCGACCAGTAGTTTTGTGCACTCCTGTCATGAGGCTATTAAATCAGATCCTAGCAGCTCAAAGTATAATGCAGTGAGAAGGTCAACGGTGTTTTGCCCAGATTTTGATGACACGTTTCATGACAATGACGACGTAGATGTATTCTACGACATGGGAGAGGAGCCTTTATCTCCATGCCAATCTCCCGTCAAATGGAAAGGAAAGACCGTTGCGGAGAAAAATGAAGCAAAGCCCATCAACTATATTGATCAGATTTCCAAAGTAATTGCTGTTCCTAGCAATCGGAAATTGATCCTGGATATTGCTGGAACTATGACTGCCTCAGGTGTCAGGTCAATGATTGATGTTTCTCTGGGCAAAGTTTCAGCGGCTTTTGGTAGGAAGGGTAAAGCTCAAGCCGTGAAGCAGGACTTCGAGACTTCCAAAAGGTCGGGAGTTGGAGAGAAACTGCAGGCTGTTGGGGACGCGACCAAGGCAGCAATGGACAAGTCAACGATACTCATGACGATGTGCTATGCAGTCTGTCTGCATTCTGTTTTGGGTGGAGTTAGAATGATTCAACCATTTTAGGTTCAGTTCAACTATTTGATGTACAATAATTCCTTTGATTACTCAATGATTACCGCCCTGACTCAGTTGTAAATTTCAGATGCGGTGAGTCTATTGAGTCATAGTTCATTTCCACCTTGGGTACACTTCAAGGCTGATAGGTTTGTAGGTTACCCTTGTTGTGATAATTTCTCCAAATTCTTCAAATTAAATATTTGGATTATATTGATCGAATGAGTGTACTAGTGTGACACTCACTTTGTAGCTTGAAAAGTTTGATGGTCGAAGTCTTGAATGTTTGAACGGTGTCAATGTCGTGATTCAGTTGACAGAAATTATATTGACGGAATGAGTTGGCTTCTTTCCTGCATTTTAGGTCGTCTGTGGTTTAAGTGCGCAATCATAGCTGCCAAACGAACCTATCTTGATAGGTTTTCTATTGTTCATGAAATTGCTTCACCCATATAGAAGATGGGAACCATTTGCACCATATTGTAATATTCTCACTGGCGTACCTCTGGCATCGTAAAAGGGAAGCTGAACTTTCTAGAGAGTTTTCAGCTTGTGTGTGTTAGACGGACAACAACACTCGCTCACCACGGACATATCTTCTGTGATATGTTTGAATGGAACATGTATTTCGTGGGTTACCAGTGTTACAAGTTGCCGTAGTTCTACAGTACTAACGAAGCGTAGCTTTGTTACTGCTTACTTCCACGACATGAACACAGGATTCAATGTGCAGATAGAATACGCGAGACCATATTTAACAAACACCTGGAAAGTCTGTCTGTACGGCAGAAGCGTCTCCTCTGTATTAAGGATAATAGTCTCATTTGAGAACAATGTATTGTACACAACCAGTGACCCAGCCTGTTGGTAACTAGTCCTCACGAATGAGCCCATCGGTTACCATGCAGTTGGAAACTAACACTGGTTTACGGCCTCTCCGAAGCTACCGACCTAAGTATCATTGTACCCGCTATCTGGGCGATTCGCCCTCCAAAAAACTGTGTTCAACATATTTTATGTCTCGCTCCCTTCCTAGGCTACAACTATTGTACGCTTGTAGTGGTAGTGAATTCACGAATTTCCTCCCCTGAAGGCAATTGCTCCTCAGAAGATTCCTCCACCATAAGGTAGTTGTCCACTTGAACAGCTGCTTCCCTACCTTCGGCAATGGCCCACACTACAAGGGATTGCCCTCGGCGGCAATCACCAGCGGCGAAGACACCTTGCAAGTTAGTGGCGTGCTTGCCGTAATCTGCTTTGAAGTTGGATCGGGCATCGGTCTCGAGTCCAAGCTTCTCCGAAATGAGCTGCAAAAAAAGGAACAGCTGCACGTCAGTAACTCTTCATGACAAAACCTTGTCGACTTCGACAATGATCAAAGTGAGTGTGGAGAGGATAAAGAATTATGAACTCACTTGCTCGGGACCCAAGAAACCCATGGCCAGAAGAACAAGGTCCGTTTCAATAATTTCGTTCGATCCAGGAATCTCGCTCATTTGGAACCTCCCATCGGCACTCTTGTCCCATTTCACGCGAACAGTCTCCATTCCAGTAACTTCTCCCTTGTCGTTGCCGATGAATCTCTTGGTCAGGACTTCGTAGGAGCGAGGGTCTTTCCCAAACTTGGTGGCTGCCTCCTCGTGCCCGTAGTCAACCCTGAAGACGCGAGGCCATTGAGGCCACGGGTTGTTCGCGGCTCTAGTCTGTGGTGGTTGAGGAAGAAGCTCCAAATTGACAACCCTAGTGCAACCGTGCCTCACCGATGTACCAATACAATCAGTTCCAGTGTCACCACCTCCAATAACAACCACTTTCTTTCCCTTGGCAGAGATGTATTGCCCATCCTCTAAGTTACTGTCCAACAAACTCTTGGTATTCTTGTGCAGGAACTCCATAGCGAAGTGGACGCCTGCCAGATCGCGCCCTTCCACAGGGAGATCCCTTGGCTTCGTTGCCCCAGTTGTGAGCAACAGAGCATCGTAATCAGACCGCAGCTTCTCGACCGAGTAGACGGGATCGACGCCAACGTGAGCATTTGTCACAAATTGAACACCCTCCGCTTCCATGAGATCTACTCTTCTTTGAACAACCTGCACCTTGTCGGTCTTCATGTTCGGCACACCGTACATCATCAAACCTCCGATCCTATCCGCCCGCTCAAAGACTGTCACTGAGTGACCCTTCTTGTTGAGTTCGTCAGCAGCTGCAAGTCCTGCTGGACCGCTGCCCACGATGGCCACCTTCTTTCCAGTCCTCTTCAGGGGTGGTCTTGGAACCATCCATCCATTCTCGAAGCCCTTATCAATGATCGTGCACTCCATGGTCTTGATTGATACAGGGTTTTCTATGATGCCAAGAACGCAAGCTCCCTCGCAAGGAGCAGGGCAGACGCGACCTGTGAACTCGGGGAAGTTGTTGGTCTCCAGAAGCCTGTCCAAGGCCTCTCTCCACCGGTTCTGGTACACGAGCTCGTTCCACTCCGGGATTTTGTTTCCCAACGGACATCCAGTCTTGTCCTGGTTGCAAAAGGGAGTACCGCAGTCCATGCATCTCGCTGCCTGCGTCTTCACGAGGCCGTCTTGATTGTCGGAGGCCAACACTTCTCCCCAATCCTTCATCCGCTCGTCTGCAGGTCGATAAGGCAACGGTTTTCTTTCGTACTTCACGAATCCACCGTGTTTGACGGGGCTCAACACTTGAGTAGGCCTGATTGTGGAAGGAGCCGCCTCCTGCAAACACAGTACAGTAGCGGGATCACCACGATGTCCATTACAATCTTACTTATCTCTCACTTTGCTTCAGTGTTTTCAAACAAGAAAAAACTAATCGTTTCGTGTTTAACTTGTGCTTAACTCTCCTAGGTCTTCCAGCACAATGAGGTCGACGTACCTCCGTAACTGAAGCCTTTCCACTCGGTGCGCCGTTGGCTACCGTAGTCACAACCTCTACAGTGACTGCGGGAGTTTCTTTCAGTTGCTCTGCCGCCTCCTTCGCTTTGATTTCTTGCAACACACGCTTGTAGTCTCGAGGGAAAACCTTGATAAAGCTGGGAAGCAGAGCATCGAAGTTGGCCAGAATTTCTCCCGCAAGCTGGCTCTTAGTGTGGCGCTGATGCTGCTGGATCAAAGCTTTAAGAGTCATCACATCCTCATTCTCTACCACGGGATCCAAATCGACCAATCCCATGTTGCATGTCGACTTGAAGGTGCCTTCCTTATCAAGCACATATGCAACTCCGCCACTCATTCCGGCGGCGAAGTTCTTCCCAGTCTTTCCAAGGACCACGACGGTTCCACCAGTCATGTACTCACATCCGTGATCTCCAACTCCTTCCACCACAGCCTTCGCCCCTGAGTTACGCACAGCAAATCTCTCTGCTGCCATACCGTTGAAGTATGCCTCTCCACTAGTTGCTCCATATAGGGCTACGTTTCCAATGAGGATGTTCTCTTTAGGATCGAAGGTGCTGGACCTTGGAGGATACACAATAATCTTTCCACCACATAGTCCCTTCCCGACGTAGTCATTGCTGTCACCTTCGAGTTCCATGGTGATACCTTTGCACATAAAAGCCCCTAGAGATTGTCCAGCGCTCCCATTTAACTTCACGTAAATGGTATCAATGGGAAGTCCTTCCAATTTGTAACGCTTGGTGACCTCGTGGCTTAGCATTGTGCCTACTGCGCGGTTCACATTGACGACAGGGGTCTCGATGTAAACCGGAAGCTTGCTCTCCAGCGCAGCACGAGATAAATTGATCAGCTTCTGGTCCAACGCGAGCTCCAGCTCGTGATCTTGCTTCATCACACATCTCTGTGCAGCCCCTGGTCTAATATCAGCTGCGGGGCGCAGCAACAAGGAGAGATCAATGTTAGTGAGCTTCTCATTTTGTGCTATGACTTCCTCATCCACCTCTAGAAGATCGGCGCGTCCAACAAGATCGTCCATCTTGCGGATACCCAAATTTGCCATGTATTCCCTAGCCTCTTCTGCAACCATGAAGAAGTAGTTGATTACGTGCTCTGGCTGTCCAGCAAACTTGGCCCTTAGGACGGGGTCTTGAGTGGCAATGCCGACCGGGCAAGTGTTCTTGTGGCACTTGCGCATCATAATGCAGCCCATGGTAATCAGAGGAGCAGTAGCAAATCCGAATTCCTCCGCTCCCAGCAAGGCAGCAACCATGATGTCACGTCCAGTCTTCAACTGCCCGTCAGTTTGGAGAATGGTGCGACCGCGAAGGTCATTTGCTACCAGGGTCTGGTGAGTTTCAGCCAGACCAAGCTCCCAAGGCAAACCAGCATTCTTGATACCAGTCCAACGACTGGCACCAGTTCCTCCATCGTGACCAGAGATGAGTACATGGTCCGCGTGACCCTTCACCACTCCACTAGCAACAACTCCTACTCCGGCTTCCGACACTAGCTTCACACTGACCCTCGCATCAGGGTTGGCGTTCTGCAACAATGATCGTAGGAACTCAGTGCCTTCGGAAGCAACACCTTGCATACCTTGCAAATGCAATCGTTCACACACACACATTCTTCCATTCCTCCATAACTTTGAAATTCAAGCACAGACTTACCTTGAGATCGTGAATGAGCTGAGACAGATCCTCTATAGAGTAGATATCGTGATGTGGTGGAGGACTGATGAGACCGACACCGGGTGTAGAATTACGCGTAATAGCGATGTCACCGATCACTTTGTGCCCTGGCAATTCTCCTCCCTCACCTGGCTTAGCACCCTGAGCCATCTTGATCTGCAGCTCATCAGCATTGGTAAGGTAGTAACTGGTGACACCGAATCGTCCACTGGCTATCTGCTTGATAGCACTCCGCTGAGGGTTCTGTGAACCATCCTGAAGTGGCTCAAGTCGCTTAGGGTTTTCTCCTCCCTCACCTGTGTTGGACTTGCCCCCAAGCTTGTTCATGGCTATGGCGAGAGTTGAATGTGCTTCAAGAGAAATAGAGCCGTAACTCATGGCGCCTGTGCAGAACCGCTTCACGATCTCTGCAGCAGGTTCAACTTCCTCCAGAGGAATTCTGGCAGACTCCGGCTGCTCCTTGAATTTCAGCATACCGCGCACGTTAATTTTCTTATTCAACTCATGCGTCAACTTAGAAAATTCTTTGTAGGCATCAACACTGTTGGTGCGTGCAGCTTCTTGAAGTTTGGCCATGGCCATGGGATCGTTCAGATGAACCTCACCACCCTTCCTCCAGCTGTAATCACCAGGGTTTGGGAGTGCGTTGGCGTCGGCACTGCCTTCCGGTGCCTCGCGCGCTGGGAACGCCATTTCGTGTAACCTGAGGCTGTCCTTGGCCAACATCTCAAATGTTGCCCCCTCCACGCGGCTTGGAGTTCCCTTGAAGCATCTCGATACAACCTCGGAGGAAAGTCCTAGTGCTTCAAAGATCTGTGCTCCCTTGTATGAGGCCAATGTAGAGATTCCCATCTTTGCCAAAACTTTGAGCATTCCAGAGTTACTTGCGTAGAAGTATTTCTTCACAAGGTCATCCTTCGATACCTTCATGGGGATCTTTCCATCAACCTGAACCCTGAAAATGGTCTCAATCGCCAAGTATGGGCAGATGGCGTCGGCTCCAAAACCAACTAGTGTACAGAAATGATGCACCTCACGAGGTTCGGCCGACTCGACCACAAGACCGATACGAGTACGCTCCATCGACTGAACCAAATGGTGATGTACAGCTCCGGTTGCCAACAAAGAACTCACTGGCACTCTTTGGGCCGACGTTGCTCTGTCAGACAGGACCAACATGGAGTACCCTTCGGCCACAGCATTCCGAGCTTCAGCACAGATGCGGGTGAGAGCATTCTCGAGTCCAGCAGGTCCCTCAGATTTGTCGAATGTGATGTCAACAACCATAGTCTTCCAGCCGCGGTACTCCATCTTTTTCACTGATTCCATTTCCTCCACAGTGAGGAGGGGGCCGCTCAAGGAGAGACGATTGCACTGCTCCTCAACCTTCTCAGTCAGATCGTGTTCAGGACCAACCATGCACCGGGTGGATGTCACGACGGCCTCCCGAATTGGATCAATGGGCGGGTTGGTGACCTGTGCAAACATCTGCTTGAAATACTCGAACAAGAGCTTGGGCCTGTTGGACATCATTGCCAATGGAGCGTCATTTCCCATGGACCCTAGTGCCTCAGAACCGTCCTTAGCCATGGGGAGAAGAAGCATCTCCAAATTCTCCATAGTGTATCTGCGATCATCAAAACAGACAGCAGTAAGCGAAACATCATTTGGTCATGATGAGAGAACTCGCGACAGAGGGATGCATTTTGAATTATGTAGCAACATTATTGAGGGCGAGGGATGTTGGCTGAAAGGACATACCCGAATGCCTTGAGAGGCGTAAGCAACCCCTTAACACCCATGTTATCTGCGGAGAAGTTCAGGCTAGCCATGTTCTTGTCACCAATAATTGCGGGAGGCGCTCGTAGCTTTTCTGGCACAGAGTTCACAACATCCTCGAGAGTAAACTTCTGACGCTCGAGCCACTCGGCGTAAGGGTACCGGGATGATTGTTGCTTCTTGAGGTCGTCGCCATCGACCACTTTGTGATTCTCAAAGTCGACGAGCAGCATCGTCCCGGGGTGAAGGCGCCCCTTCTGAGCAACATTCTCAGGCTCTACGTCAACAACACCTACTTCACTCGCCATAATGACACGGCCGTCATGAGTCACGTAGAATCGTCCAGGACGGAGTCCATTTCGGTCCAGTGTGGCGCCTAGATACTTCCCGTCCGTGACTGCAAGATGAAAAGAGTTAGTGAGATGAATCCAATTGAACTGAATTCGCCAAATAAGATCCTCGTATTGAATTAACCAATTTCAAAGCATGGTATGGGAATTGAAGAGAGAACGAAGAGTACATACATGTCACAAGGGCAGGTCCATCCCAGGGTTCGATAATGCACGAGAAATATTCGTAGAGCGCGCGGCGTTCCGGGTCCATGTTAGGATCGTTTTGCCATGCCTCGGGAATCATCATCATGACAGCCTCAGGAAGAGAGCGCCCAGCTCGCACCAACAACTCTAAGACTCCATCGAACACACCTAGAAGCCATGCCCGACAGGTTAACACCATGAATTGAAGATAACAATCACGGAAACCGGCTACTCGAGAGCGAGTGAAAGACGTAGCGTGCAGAGCCAGGCGAAAGGATTTCACGTACCGGAGTCGGAGGATCCAGCATCAACAATTGGAAGCAATTTCTTCAGTTCCTCCGGAGAGAGCCCTAAGTTCTTACACTTGAAAAGACCTTCGCGAGCGTGCATCCTGTCAACCAACGGCAAGAGTAAGTAAGAACATCATTGTTGCTCACATCCCGATTCAAAGCACCGCCTTTTCGGACAATGTCCTGAAAACAAGCCGAATTGTGAAGTTTGTGATCTGAATTCGGAGACGTACCAGTTGACGTTCCCTCGCAACGTGTTGATTTCTCCATTGTGGCCGAGCATGCGCATGGGCTGTGCGCGGTCCCAACTAGGGAATGTATTAGTGGAGAATCGAGAGTGCACTATTGCCATGAAACTGGTAAATCTCTCGTCACCAAGGTCGGCGTAATAGTATTTTGTTAACTGGTTCGGCTTCAGCTGCCCCTTGTAAACAACGGTTTTGGATGACAGAGAGCAAATGTAGAAATCCTTGGCGGCACCTCGCTTCAAATTGAGAACAGCTCGGATTGCCAACATTGAGGTCTTCCTCAGGATGTACATCTGGCACCAATCACAGTACGTCCAAGGGTTCTTCAGTTCGGTATCGATCCGAAAAAACTGACTCGTCAATTCTGCAATTGGTCTAGTTGAAGTACAAAGGTAACGGGTCGAAACAAACAGGGACGCACCTGCGTCTCAAAGTCGACTTTCGAGAGTGTGCTTGCAGTGAGAAACACTTGCTCGATCAGAGGCTCAGTCTGAATGGCAGATTTTCCCAAGTCCGAGTTGTCGGTCTGTACGCGGCGCCATCCCAACACCGTGTGGCCAAGGGCCTCAGCCACCTCGGTAAAGACCTTCTTGGCGTGCTCTCGACGAATTTCTGAGGTGGGCAAGAACATCATACCCACTGCATAATCTCCTAGAGGTGGCAACTCGCATCCTATCTCTTCGGGTACAACCTGTCCAATCGTACAAAGTCCTTAAAACGCAACAAAAAGACGTTCAACCTTGCGACATGCATCAGACTCACTGAAAGGTACCGCGACATGTATTGCATCGTACCCACTGCAAAAACGAGGCCGCAGCGTTGCAAAGCAAGGCAATGGCGTACGCGATAGCCCAAACGATACCTGAGAGAAGTAGCTGTGGGGAATGCCGACAAGGATTCCAGCGCCATCTCCCGTGTTCTCCTCACACCCGCAGGCTCCTCTATGTGCCATACGCTCAAGCATCTCCAGTGCATCCTTAACCTGAAATCAAGCAATGTAAGAGTGATTCGGAGAGTATCCTCTGAAAGGAGGCAAACCAGAATAAACTGTGAGTTTCATAACTGAGGTTTCTATTGTGCTGATCAGCCTCCTTAAAAGCGAGAGAGTGTAACTTGTAGTCTTGAACAAAGACTTCCAAAGTAGTGCGATCACATGATTCAAGAGGCTAAACAGAATCTTTTCCAAAGGTGACAGTGGATGATCGCAATGGACAGGAGGAAGGAGGAACTTACGATGTCACGGCTCGACTCCTGGGAGAGCTTAGCGATGAATCCAACTCCGCACCCATCCTTGTCGAAAGAAGGATCATACAATCCAAGGTTTGATTCAGGAACAGAAGATAATCCCGCCCTCACAGACAGTTGCAGGAACTTCTGGTGTCTCTGCCTCGACGACTGCCCCCAAAATCGCTTCACTAACCTTGACTTGTCACTTTTAAAAGACTCCGCCAAACTCCGACCCCCGGTTTTCCTGAGACCCGAAAAGCTGCATCCTGCTTGCAATTGCCGGCTTCCGAATGACGAATCAGTCTGCAATCCAGTTCCAGCTACGTCCCGAGCAACTGCCTGCGCGCAGTTTCCTTGCTTTAGTAACTTGCGAGACTTGGAACTATTCCCACCATGAACATTCACCGCTGCCTGTGGTTGAGAGTGTAGAGTAAGGGGTGCACGGAGAAGAGCTTCCATTAGCAAACTTCACAACGTGCACACACCCGAGAGATCTGTATCTAATCAGAAGTCAGACACGAGCGCAGTCGCCTCGAGTGGCTTCCCACTCGAAAGCCCGCAACCACCACTATCAGCCCCAAGTTAACCCACCAATGAACTCACAAAACTCAACACCGCTGCAACGAGATGTTGTCAAGCGCGCAAGCCCTCTTACGATCGAATTGCTCCTAACCTATGATCAATCAGCGTGGGAATAAGCGAGTATTTCAACTAAAACGAGTACTGAAAGTATGGACGATGAATGCACAAAAGGCAAAGAGAGGGAGCCGCTGGTCAGATCGACCCTGCCAGCCCGCAGTGATGGAAAAGATGAGAGGAGAGATGGCTGGGGAAGGATCTCTCTCAGAGGCAGGCTGCAAACTTCTTCGGAAGGAAGCGGTGCCGATGAGTTTATAAAGCCATCACCAACTTGGTTGCCTCACACAAATGGTACAACGTCAAGCGGCCCGGGCTTGGGATGGCTTGTCAGAGTCCTCAAGAGCCGTCGCAAATTGACACCGCTCGATGTGCGGAAATTTCTTGTCGCTCGCACCCATTTGCTATTGCAGGTCCCTGGAAGTTTTATCAGTTGGAAGGCTCCATGGATCTACACCCCCACTTCTGGATAAAACTTCGGAGAAGCCTAGCCGTGGCGGTTAATCGCATCCCCTATGGCTTCGTCACCTCCCCCTAGCCTACCCACACGGCCCTTGCGGGTTAAATCTATTAGCGTGAAATGAGAATTGTCACGACGTCGAGGAAGTGGGAAATTGCTCACACAGCCGAAATATAGAAAATTATAGAAATATATTATAATATGGGTGCTATTGGATTTGATAGGCCTAAACACTGACGTGTGCTGACCAGTTCCGATTGGGCTCCTTGGAAGGGGGAGCTAGGAATAACAGTTTTTATTTTATAAGAAAAGGTCGGATCGTCAAGCTGGACCCCTTCTTGCAACTTCCTGCTTCTTGGCCCCCTGTAAAGACGAGTTGATCTTCGGTTTCGAGGAATAATTACGAAGCTCTTGGCTATTTCTTAGTTCCTTTGGAATCTGTTCCGCTATGTTCAAACAGAAATGTAAAAAAGCAGCGAGGAGGTGCAGCAGCGCAATCGCCATCATAACCTCACTCGAGCATTACTCATTTACTTGATTTCAGTAAAATGCCACACCGCAGGTGAGAACGTCGTTTGGTTTGTTAGAGTTTCCCCAGAAACCAAAAGGAATCACTCTAATCGAATGCCATTTGAGCTCGCAGAGCAGAGCACAATGATGAATTCGGGGACAAAAAATTGTTAAGGTGAGCGAGCTTGAATTATGAGCCTCTCGGAATCACTTGTCAGATACACGTGAGCATTCTTGCGCAAACGGCCAGAGAATGGACACAAAAAGCAAAAGCTCCGTGGCCCCCACTATTTCTCCTCCTCTAACCCCCATTCTAAGCTCCAACTGCAGGCCTGCAGGGAGCCCAAATGATGGTGTTTCTTTTCCTGCCATATCAGACACCACCTCCAAATTTAGCGGGGTGGTCCCCGCCTCCTGCAGAATATATGAAGGGATGTCTAAGCTCGTTGGAGAAAGTGAGCACCTCGACCCGCCACCTCCAACGGCGCCAAATAGGCGGGTGGGGGGGGGGGACACTTGCCCTCACAGGGAGGCTCCTGTACTCAAAACCCTAAATTCCTCGAAATGAATCCTCACTAAAAATAAAAAATAAAAACTAAACTAAACTCTTTCCCTACGTGGTGACCATCCTCCCCCGTATTAGGGACCGGGCGAAATCCGGGCAGAGGAATGTCAATAAACTAAACTAAACTCACTCGTGTTCCCCCAATAAATAGGGTTGCCCGATGAATCTTTCACATCCCCTATTACCTTCCGTTCCACTTCGCACTACCCTAATAAAGACACACAACACAGAACCCAATGTCTAGTGTTTAAGTTTTTCCACCCAAAGATTCTGTGTATTATTTTTCTGGTTCAGTTAATTGGGTTGCTGTGTGTCGTAGGGTATGCTGTAATGATCACCCATGAAATAGCTTTGGTACAAAGGAATGCTACTAGAGTAAGAAAAACTAGGATCCAGAGAGCAGGAATTTGTCGTGGGTAGTAGCGAAGCAGCAGTGGCAGCATCTAGGGATCCCCACTCCTTCTATCTCAGGCTTTGTGCCCCCTTCCACTAGGCAAACTCATCCACCGAGAGCTGTCAGAGCTTCCTTGTGGTTGTTTGCCGCTTTTGTGGTTGCCTCTGGAGGTTTTCTGACGTTATTTAATACAATCTATTTATTTATTTGTTTTTGTTCTGTTGTTGTTGTTGTTGGCACAGTAAGGGGTGAACTTGGTGTGAGATTTCACAACAAGGATTTGTACAGCCACCCCATGAACTTGCTAATTTGCAGTTTTTGTGGGTGCAGCTTTATCTTCGCATGGTAGTTACAGGTCATTCTGGATCTCATCTGAGTTTTCAGCTTTGGGGATTAGATTGTGCAATCTTCTCAACACACCCTTCAAAATGTGTGCACTTCAAAAATGTTCTCAAAAATCAACAGAAGAAAGAATTAAAAAATAACAAAAAACTGTGTGTTGATTATATAAGTGGGAGAAAATTTTTATGGTTAAGAAAATACTAGTTTTTAGAGACTGTAACATAATAAGATGGAAATACACGTGGTAGGAATATAGCTTGTTCACCCCCCCCCCTGCACAAAAAATAGTTCATGTTATTTTCTTTCTATTAATGAAAAGGCTGGTTTTGCTATGATTGTTATTATGCATATGTTTTACGTGAACAGCAAATTGATAACAAGCCTGTGTCAATGACTCAAACTTTGAATAGTTTTTGTTTTCCCCATTATTTTATCGTTCAGCACCCAATGTGGCATCCCAATCAAGTGCCCCTCCCAACCAAAACTAGCTTCCAACCAAACATGAGGAGTATCTGCAAGTACCCAAGCCTTTGAAGCCTTCTTCATGACAATCTTAAAAATAAATATAAACTGTAAATGCATGGTGCAAAGACATTTACAAAGAGAGTAACTTCTTTTTCTATACTAAGATTGGTGGAAACAAACCCACAAATTTTTATCACTCCATAGTTTAAACTAGAGAAGCCCCCAAAAGTCTTCAAGCATGAATACATCCAAGCAGTTGTTGTTTCATGTGACAAAAAAAAAAAAAAAAAAAAAAAAAAAAACGGGGTGGTTCAAACCCATCTGTGGCTCCATTGTGCAGAGTCATTACAGTCATGAGGCTGGATTTCCAGGCCAAAAACTGTGCAGTAGCCATGTCCTCCATGAGTCAGAATCCACACTGCAAAACGTGAGAAAAATATTCTAAAATAAAACTCAATAAATCACAAGCATTTTTCTTGTTATCAATGAGCCATGCAGCAAACAAACAATGATGATGATGTGGAGTATTCTTGTATAGTTTATGAGACCCAGAATATGAAGAAAAGATGGAACCTGAAATGGGAATATATTCCACAAAAGGACAGATTACCACCAAGAGCTTGCTGGATCAGTGGGGTGTGTGCCCTCACACAAGAGAGAAGGAATGGCTTCCCAAGTCATTGGAACCCTAAAAACCCACCCCCCACCCCCTTCTGACACATGACCTTTCACACCACTAGGGTCTTAGTTGTGATTCCCCTATAACCAAAAGGCCCAGTGAAAGGATCAATGTAGCCTCATGGAAGAGCATTGGAGGCACTCCACACATTCTCTCTCTCTCTCTCTCTGCATGTGTCTCGTTTTAATATTCCATTAAACAATGGTTATAGTCATGAGTCCATTGAGGCCCCAAGCTCACTGGAATCATTTGAACAGGATTTTGGGCAGAATTTAGATCCTAATCCAAGGGCCCTTGAAGTAATTGGGCCCCATACTTGATTCAGATTCCTTTTTTGAGTGTGCCAATTCTAGCAAAGTTCCAAAATTGCTCCCTCCCTTACCCACACGCTACCCTCTTATTTTAAATAAAGCATTCAGTAGGAGTTGGGTTATCTTTTTCTCACCCCAGACCCCAAAGTCTGGAATGCAATTTTTTTTCTTTATTCATGCTCGGGCAGTTGGATGAATCTATACTGGGTGAGAAGCTTAGCAGATGGTGAGGGGCTCCAAATTGCAGATGTGGCAGTATGTGTGAGGAGAAGCCACTAACAATTCAAAGAGGTCAATGGTAGAGTTCTTATGGCATTCATGTGACCATTCCATTGGCTGCAGTTTGGTTTGCACACATAAAACTAACAAATACATGAGCCCCTGTTTAGTTTACTTTAGTTTATGGTTTTATTTATTCATTTATTTATTTATTTTTTATGTGTATTTACTTTGAAGTCATGGATTGCTGTAACTGATTAAATGGGAAAGTACAGGAAATCCCCATTAGGTAAAACAACTTTTTCTCCCTATCTTCTTATTCATGCAACCTTCATTTATGTATGTATGTATGTATGTATGTATGTATGTATGTATCTCTCTCTCTCTCTCTCTCTCTCTCTCTGTATATATATATATATATATATGCACACACAACTGAATGCATTGCTGCCTTACAATTTGATGCCAAAATCTAAGTATTTTATGAAGTTTTTGTAAATATTTTGTCATGGTTTTGTATGCAATCATTTAGTAATTTGTAAGAATGTCCTAGAACTAGATTAGGGCAAGGTCTAAGCATTCCATTTGTCCATCATGTTCTATACAAATGAACTCAAACTACTCACATGTCTTCAAAAAGGACATCAATTGTTTTCTTTAAGAGATTTTAATTGAATTTATTACTTAAAATAGTAAAATATTACTTATTTCAAATTTGTGCTTATTTTATTTTATTTAAATATTACAACTAAAATTTGGTAATATTTATTGATTCTTCTAAATGAAATTCTATGAAATAAAACTTATATCATCTAATCAGTTTTTGAACATTAATTTTTATTACCACCAAATTTAAGATTTATCAAGCTGTTAACACAAAAGATCTTTTTTTATTGTGAAATAAGCATAATTGAGTGGTTGGAATGCCTTGTGAGTTGACAAATGTTCCTTTTTCTTGTCAAAACATGATAAATTTAGTCTTTAAAAACAGTTTGGAATTTTTGATTGTATCTTTTCAACCTTTTTTTTATCTTTTAAAAATTACTATTTCCGCAGGTCAAATATACAAATAGTGACACTGAAGGATCCAAATTTATACAAGCTATGTTAGTGTTTTATTTATTTATTTATCATTTAAAAATAATTTAAATGTCTTTTTTTAGTAATATAAGTACTAAGAACATTTCAAAGTTTAAAAATCATAGTAGTTAGATTGGTTAAGTGAAAATTTAACATTTTCATTCAAGAAGATATCGAATTTTAGCATATAAATAGTTAAATGGTTGTTTTATTTGATCAATAATGTATATT